TCAGAAATGCAGAGTCCAGAACGTTCACTTCGTAGTTTAATCCTGTTCTCCTCCTCTTTTCTCTCCCCCCTCATTCCATTCACTCCTCATCCATCACTCGCTCATTTGATCCCACCATTTCTGATCCCACCTTCTCTGACTCCCAAGTCTCTGCATAAACTCAGCCTACCGTCCGTGTAAACAGACAGGTCCCATTCCAATAGTGAAGTGAACTACTACCACTACTTCTACTACTACCACTACTTCTACTGCTACTGCTACTGCTACTACTACCACTACTTCTACTGCTGCTGCTACTACTACTGCTGCTACTACTACTACTACTGCTGCTACTACTACTACTACTACTACTACTACTACTGCTGCTACTACTACTACTACTGCTACTGCTGCTGCTACTACTACCACTACTTCTACTACTACTACTACTACTACTGCTACTGCTACTGCTACTACTACTACTACTACTGCTACTGCAACTGCTGCTACTGCTACTGCTACTACTACTACGGCGGCGGCGGCTGCTGCTGCTACTACTACTACTACTACTACTACTGCTGTTGCTACTGCTGTTGCTACTGCTGCTGCTACTACTGCTGCTACTGCTACTACCACTGCCACTACCACTACTACTACTACTACACTTTTCTTCATTTTATGACTTATTTTCTCATATTTCGAATATAATATTAATCTCTTGTCTTTAACAGTCAAAATAAAGTAAATTACATGAATAATGTGTTTGAAATATTTTTTTCCAATCTATGATAGTAAAGTCCAGATACTATAATTTACACTTTACTGTGAACACTCTCTTATACATGTAACTTGTATATGTACCACTAAGAAATGAATATGTACCACTTAGAAATGAATATGTCAGAACGAGGGTAAAATGTGTGTGTTTTTCTGTGTTGTTGTTGCTGCAGATGGAGACAGAGCTCACAGTAGTGCGTCTGTAGAGACTGTTGTGTGTAGAAATAAAAAGATTATGAGCTGACTCCATGTTGTAGGAACTGCTGGAATTCAGAGTTGCACAAGTCAGACACATGTTTACAGTACATTTAGTATTAAGTCAGGATCATGTTGATGAGTCTGACTGAGATTATCCCGGTCCAGACTTGTACTGGGAGCCACACCGCGTGATAAGGTCTTCTGTCCACACGGAGGCTTTCAACACCTGTGTGGACGTAAACCAGGTGTCTTTACAACCATGTGTGGTGAAACAAAGCATATGGTCGGACTATATGTGACGGGAAATGTAATCATTCAGTGGAGATCGGTAGTTTACATTCACTGTGGAAATGTGAATCTGATGTATTTTCACACGGTTTGGAGTCGAGTGGAATTTCTGTCAATATTGTGGCTTTGAGCAAAAAAATTTAGATAAAAATTATGTAATAATTACTAAATCTGATGACAAATGATTGTGACAGAGGAAGCACCAGCAGGACAGAAGAAGAAGAACAGCTTGGCGAGGACAGCAGGGACCAGAGGACTGTGGCCGGTTTTATTTATCTTTTTTAAATCAGATTTTAAAGGATCCCTCTTGTACATTTTTTTTTTTTTTTTACATTTTATCTTCTTTTTACCCCCTTTTTATTTGTTTCATGGTTGCACCCACAAGTCTCCCAGATATGCTTTTTAACCTGTGAGAGACGCACAAGTACGTAACAGCAGTAGACGCACCAACCGTTCTTTTGTTACATTTTTTGGTTTCTACTTTGACACTGTAAATATATGTTTTCGTTATGACTTTTTTTAAACGATTATTAATTAAGGAGAACATCTCTCTTGGTGTCTCCCTTATTTGTTGTGACCTTGAGCGAGTCATAAAACTATCATATGTTTTACTCCACCCTCAAATATGGTTAGGAGCACAAGATCGGACAAGCAGTGATGTGCTCATTCACACGGGAGGAGCTCAGAGTAGAGCCACTACTCCTCCAAGTCGGGAGGAGTCAGTTGAAGAAGCTCAGGCCTCCTGGGCAAATTCCGAGAGATCTTTTGGCCAAGAGACCTGGGAACGCCTCAGGATTAGGGCTGGGATAAACGATTTATTTAAACGATTAATCTAGCGATTATTTTTTCGATGCATCGGATTTTTTTCAGTTCAATTCGATTTCGATTTGATTCGATTATCGATTATCTCCCCATTCATTGACTAATAGAAATGTATACATTGGGTGTTGTCTGTTGATTTACATATCTGAATGAAAAAACATGAATTTCTTAACAAAATATATTTATTGCTCTTAAAATTCAAAAATAAGACATTCTTAATCAGAGGTAGCATAAAACCCTGAAGCATTGAAAATACAGTACCTTGCGAAAGGAACTGTATTACTTGGATACTAAATTTATTGGATAATTTAAACTTTTTTAACAAATAAAAAATGGAAAAGTGGGGCGAGCAATATTATTCGGCCCCCTTGCGCTAATACTTTGTAGCGCCACCTTTTGCTGCAATTACAGCTGCAAGTCGCTTGGGGTATGTCTCTATCAGTTTTGCACAACGAGAGACTGGAATTCTTGCCCATTCTTCCTTGCAAAACAGCTCAAGCTCAGTGAGGTTGGATGGAGAGCGTTTGTGAACAGCAGTCTTCAGCTCTTTCCACAGATTCTCGATTGGATTCAGGTCTGGACTTTGACTTGGCCATTCTAACACCTGGATACGTCTATTTGTGAACCATTCCATTGTAGATTTGGCTTTATGTTTTGGATCATTGTCCCGTTGGAAGATAAATCTCCGTCCCAGTCTCAGGTCTTTTGCAGACTTCAACAGCTTTTCTTCCAGAATGGTCCTGTATTTGGCTCCATCCATCTTCCCATCAATTTTAGCCATCTTCCCTGTCCCTGCTGAAGAAAAGCAGGCCCAAACCATGAGGCTGCCACCACCATGTTTGACAGTGGGGATGGTGTGTTCAGGGTGATGAGCTGTGTTGCTTTTACGCCAAACATATCGTTTTGCATTGTGGCCAAAAAGTTCGATTTTGGTTTCATCTGACCAGAGCACCTTCTTCCACATGTTTGGTGTGTCTCCCAGGTGGCTTGTGGCAAACTTTAAAACAAGACTTTTTATGGATATCTTTGAGAAATGGCTTTCTTCTTGCCACTCTTCCATAAAGGCCAGATTTGTGCAGTGCACGACTGATTGTTGTCCTATGGACAGACTCTCCCACCTCAGCTGTAGTTATCTGCAGTTCATCCAGAGTGATCATGGGCCTCTTGGCAGCATCTTTGATCAGTCTTCTCCTTGTTTGAGATGAAAGTTTGGAGGGACGGCCGGGTCTTGGTAGATTTGCAGTGGTCTGATACTCCTTCCATTTCAATATAATTGCTGGCACAGTGCTCCTTGAGATGTTTAAAGCTTGGGAAATCTTTTTTTATCCAAATCCGGCTTTAAACTTCTCCACAACAGTATCTCGGACCTGCCTGGTGTGTTCCTTTGTCTTCATAGTTCTCTCTGCGCTTTAAACAGAACCCTGAGACTATCAAAAAGCAGGTGCATTTATACGGAGACTTGATTACACACAGGTGCATTCTATTTATCATCATCAGTCATTTAGGACAACATTGGATCATTCAAAGATCCTCACTGAACTTCTGGAGTGAGAAAGTAAAGGGGCTGCACGCCCCACTTTTCAGTTTTTTATTTGTTAAAAAAGTTTAAATTATCCAATAAATTCCGTTCCACTTCACGAATGTGTCCCACTTGTTGTTGATTCATGACAAAAAATATTTTTTTTATATCATTATGTTTGAAGCCTGAAATGTGGCGAAATGTTGAAAGGTTCAAGGGGGGCAAATACTTTCGCAAGGCACTGTACATCTAGCTAACTGAAAAAAGTACTTATTATTCTTCTTTCAGATGAAAATAACACTTGATGTTTAGCATTCAATAAAAATAAAGTAAAGTTTACCCAAAATACTTGTTTAGAGCAACTGAAAGAACACAGTAACCAATGTAAACTTGAGGGCTTTTATCTAAAGAGAGGGCTTTTCTTGCAAAAAATAATGAAAATAAACATTTAGAATTCAACAGTTATGTTGAACATATGCTTAGCTTACTGAAAAAATAATCTTCATTCACAAAAAACAACTTAGACTCTGACACTTTCATTTCCCCTTAAGAATACTGTCTGTCTCTTTGTGTGTGCTTGTCAACATTTGCCTCCAGCCCAAGTTGTCATTCTCCAGTGACTAAACTAGCACAGCTGGCATGTTCGCTGATGCAGAGGTACCGTCTAATAATAAAATAAACTGATGGTGCACCTCCCTGAACACATACTGCTGTTATATAAAGTTTCCGGAAGGTCTCTGGACACAGAGATGCTGCAGAGCTGCAGTATTGGAGAAGAACAAAAAGCCGCTAGCTAAACGCCGCTAGCTAAACGCCGCTAGCCCAGGACTTCTGGTCTGAACACCCCAAGTCTCTGTAATTTAGAGAATGTGCGTCTACTGCGCGGGCTGAACGCCCCATAAGACGGCACTCGCGTACTACTGCTACTACTCGCTGCCATCTTTGTTTTGAGTATGACGAATCAACGCACATATTTTGTATTGATGTATTTTTTGCCTCGACGTCATCAATTACGTCGGTGCATTGTACCAGCCCTACTCAGGATTATGGGCGAGATGATGTGTCTAACTAAAACCATAATTCTGAATTCTATTTTATAAGAACTATAAGAAATTATATTTATAAGAAATTACCACACACACATTGACCTTTAAACATGGCACTTCTAGTTTATATCTATGATTTTGAAATTGAAGCATGTAATCTAAGGCATAAGGAAAGTACCTGGCAAACACAGATTTTATCCTCGTAATCATAGAGTGAGGCCAAAAAGCTTGAATAAGATGAGATGAGAATAGAACCATGTGCTCGTGTTCATGGTGAAGGTGTTCTGGTTGGAATGCTCTTATCAGGGTCGAATGTTGACTTGGCATTTTCGCTCTATGTCAGTGTGTTTGTGTATATGTGAGGGATACCATTAGCTGAACATATCTGGCCTTTGAGTTAATGACAGGGTGGCAGGCTTCCAGACAGACAGATAATACCACAGCACAGTGACAGAGTATTCCAAGTAGAGGTTCACCTCAGCAACCACCGAGCCTCGGGCCTCGGGCGGCGGGTCAGGACTGCAGCACGGAGACACTGATGTCAGGAATGTGCTTAAAGAGACGCTGCTGTCATATGAACATGTTTGGATTGTGCTACTGCTCACTATCACCCAAAATCTAGGTTAAATAGATAAAACAGACTTTATTGATCTCACACTGGAGAAACGTAGGCCCTGTTTAGACGGAAGCTATGAACAGAAACGACCAGGCTCCTTATGCAAATTTTACAGCTTTCATACGAGGATGAAAAACGATGTAGTTCTAGCGCCCGGCCAGTAGTGGGCAGAGGAACTTTACAACACGACACACGTGACCCCCAGCCCCCCCCCCCCCCCCCCCCCCAGCAGTATACTCACTTCCTCAACATCCTCCTCAGGCGCCGCGAAGACGTGAAAGAACCAACATTATTCTGCATTTAACAGCAGCTGCGAAAATGGAAACTGAAACTAGAGCTTTGCGTGGTTTCGTTTGGACGATTGAAGGAGTAGAATTCTCCTCCATGTAGCGCTCAAAGCACATGTAGCTAGTTAGTGTACCCGCCGCCATTGTTTACGTTTTTTCTACTGCGCATGTCCAAATGTACATGCGGGGAGCAGCGGGAGGTGGGGGTCATAGCAGCAGCAGAGAATTCACACCTTTTCCTTCACGCGGGTGTGAAAGAACGCCCCCTGCTGTGCAGCGTATCTGAGGCCCTGTTTATACTGAGACGCTGCGCAGACGTTTCCAGGCTATTAACAGAAACGACCAGGCTCCTAATGCAAATTTCTCAGCGTTCACATGAGGTTGAAAAACGATGTAGTTCTAGCGCCCGGCCAGTAGTGGGCAGAGAAACTTTACAACACTCACACGACCCCCAGCCCCGTGCCCAGCCCCCCTCTCGGCAGTGTACTCACTTCCTGTGCCAGACCCTCAGAGAGTACCAACATCATTCTGCCTTTTAACAGCAACTGTGAAAATGAAAACTGAACCTAGAGCTTTGCGTGCTCTCGTTTGGACGAACGAAGGAGTAGAATTATCCTCTGTGCCGCGCTGGAAGCCCACGAAGCTAGTTAGTTTACCGGCGCCATTGTTGTTTTTGTTTGTTCTCCGCTACTGCGCATGTCCAAATTTACGTGCGGGGAGCAGCGCGGAGGTGGGGGTCAGAGCAGAGGGGGATTTCACACCTTTTTCCCTCTCGCGGGTGTGAAAGAGATCCCCCGCTGTGCAGCGTTTCTGAGTTGTCCCACTCTGCAGGCTGGATCTGAGCACTTACGTTTTCACCCCCCTGGAACATAGTCTTCGTATGAACGGTTGGTAGAAACCGACATTCAACTATACTGTTTTACTGCCACATTGTCTTTGCGTAAACTCAGCCTGAGCTGTCCTACTCAGGCTGGATTGGTGTGTTTCAGGTGAAACGCACTCTCCTGAAACACAGTCTCCATGTGAACTGGGGGTAGCAACCGACATCCAACTACAGCGTTTACTGCCTCATTGTCCCCGTCTAAACCGGGCCTTACAATCACAATCACAAATAACAATCCTATAATGGCATCAAATATTGGTACTGAAATTCAAGATATTAGTTTGCACAAAACAGACTTTTATTTACGTAAAGTAGTCCCTGAAAGGTTAAGTAACTGTTGGGCAACACATCTGGATTACAGGGTGTACAAGATTAACCTTGAGGCTTTTTTCAGATTCAATGCTGCTCTCAGAACCAGAATAGCTCTGCAGGTCCTTTGTGAGGTGCTGTAGTGACTTACTGTATGTAAAGTGGAGTGATGGCCGAGGCTGTATCCCGGACAACATTCACATTTCTCTGTATAATGCATGGGAACGGGGTACACAAAGGAGTCTGCGGCCCTAACGCACAACTCTACACAGACACTTGAGACATGATTAAGCTCAGCAAGACCAGGCCGGACTGAGACAGAGCTTCTCAGTCCTCTCCAGACCCCACTTAGCAAAGCTTTATGAGACTGTCCCATGGCCGAGGTCAAATATACTGATTCTAGTCCACATGATGTCTCCCACTATACAGCGTCACAGGATAGGAAATCTAATAGACATTCACTCTTTCATTTCATATTAAACTAAAGATGACGGTTTTATTTTTGCTTTTCAAGACAAACAGAAAAAACACCGTACTGGGTAAATCCACAATTCACATAATACAAGTTTACTGTACAGTAAAAACAAAACAGTTACTACCACCGATGGTATAAGACAGGCATGTCCAAACACAGGCCCGCGGGCCAATTGCAGCCCTTTATGCCATTTTATGTGGCCCTATGTTGCAGACACCAAGTCGCCATTGAGGCCCTTTGACAGTGTCATCCAACCAACTTCAGCTCCACCAACACAGTCATGTTATACCATGTTGTAAATCTCAGACCCTCTGGAATCAAGTTGTTGACTTTATTGTTACATACTGACATTTGCTCATGATTGGGTCACAACATTCCAAATGAAATGCAGCTGTGGTGTGGATCAATAACCCATTTTTTATTCCAGAATCGAGTCAATCCAGCTCGAATCCAGTTTTTTAAATCCAGGTTGTCGGGTCATCAAGTCTGATGAACTAAAGTGGTCCTCTTACTAAAAAGTTTGGACACACCTGGGAGGAGGGGTCCATTTCCTCAAAATGGAAAATAACAGAAATACCGGTGTCACATTTCTTACAATAATTAGACATGAAGAAGGTTTTTTGAGCTAAATTTTTCAATATTACAGCACGGGACATGTGCGCCTTATGATCCAGAGCAGCTTGTACAAGTACAAAATTCAATTTCTTTCTTAAAATTTAGCACCTGTGGTTTGTAGTCCTGAAAACAAGTATATAGGCTTGACTTTACTTGTGTGTTCCCAGTGTTATTAAAGAGCATCAGTGAAGGGAACAATCCACTGACCTTCTATTGTCAGTGTTTATATTTCACTCAAGTGTAGGTCATCTGTCTGAGCAAAGACGGTGACGTCCTGATGAGCAGAGAGATGGTTTGTTGATAGTGTTTGTACCTCTCCTGCGTTCTCGCTCCTTAATCAGCAGCAGCGACGTGAGGAGGTGAAGCCGGTGGAGGTGACTGTGGACTCCCAGCTCCAGCAGATCATACTCAGACACATGAAGCAAGTCCTGAAACAAATGAAAAATACAACTGTTCAGGCCAATTTTAAATGTAGAATCAGACTTGTTGTTGTAGTTTCCGAATGGCACCACCTGCGTGTGAAAGTCACATCCTGTTAGACCTCGGGAGCTAAGCAGGACAGGGCCTGGTTGGTCCTGCTGGTCCCAGAGTCAGAACTAAACATGAAGAGGCAGCATTTCACATTCATGCTAAAATCTGGAACAATCTTCCTGAAAATGTAAATGCTAATAAAGCATTCAGCATTTTATTTTGGACCAGAGCAGAGAAAATGGTCTGAACCAACGGCTGCTCCACCTCTGCTGCTGAGACCTAAAGTAATGTTGCATTTTGTTATTACTATTGTTAGCTTTTTAGAATAATTTATTTATTTCTGTTTGGATGGATGTGTTTTTGCTGCTACTGGACACCTGAATTTCTTCTGCAGGGATCAATAAAGTATCTATCTATCTATTTCTCTGACAATGTTTAATTTCAGGCTAAAAACAGTTCTGTTTAGCTGCTACAACTTTGAGATTTTATATTTTTATCTTTCTTTTTAATGCACTGCGATTATTTATGATTTTAATGCTATCTTGTTTTGTTCAGAACTTTGAGTTGCCTTGTGTATGAATTGTGCTATACAAATAAACTTGTCTTGCCTTACTGTAATGAGAAAGCTCTGAGTTTGGGCTACGGTTTGGCTGCGGCTGTAAAGTGCCAAAGTGCCATTGTCTCCTTAGGCAAGACAGTTCTCCCACATTGCTTTGCTAAATTTCTCCATTTTAAGATCAACAAAGTTTATCTTATCCGATCTTATCTGAAGAGGCTACAGTAGTTTATCATCACCGTTTATGGAGTGAAAAAGCCCACAAAAAACTTAAGCATGATATTATTTTATTTTCGATTAGAATATGACTCCGGGAAAAGTGCTGACTTTTGCTGTAGTGTCATATTAGATAAATGAGCCGAGAAAAGTGAGAAGCTTGACCTGATCTAGTGCGTGACCTTTGGCTTCGCAGGAGACCAGCCCCGACTTTTAACTCAGGCTCGTGGAAGTCTTCCTCGGGTCCTTTAAGTGGCTTCAAAATGTGACATAAACCCACGGGAGACACTCAAATCATCAATCATTTGTTTGGAAAAAGGCAGTGATCCTTTCCCATGAAGATTCTAAAAAAATCTAATAGAAAAAGGGTAAGTTTCTCCGTTAAAATGTTTACATTTTAATTGATAGAACAAATACATGTATGTTTTTATAAAAGCCCTTTAAAGTTCACTTATTGAAGAAAGCCATTTGTGCTGGTATTTTCTATGACGTATGAGCAGTAATAACAAAATTTATATACATATATATGTACAGTTTATATATATTTTTACCCGCTAGTTTTGATGCAGCTTAATGGTAAAAATACTTAAAATCAAGTGATAGAGATGCTCCAAAGAGGTAGATTTCAGTTCCAAGCATTCTTCAAATAGATAGAGATTTAAAATGTGATCCACCAAATGTGTTACGAGGAGAGGTGAATGGAGGACTCAAGATGCAGGAATGCCAAAATAAATATAATTGAATGATAAAAAAACAAAAGTGCAGAAGAAAACAAACTCAAACTCAAAATCCAAAACCACAAGGAACACGGAACCAGGAACAGACAAAGACATGAACAATACAATGGACCAGCAACAAGGGGAGAGGAGCACAGGTACATATAGACCCAGAGACACAGGTACATATACTGTAGACACAGAGACACAGGTACATATAGACACAGACACAGGTACATATAGACACAGAGACACAGGTACATATACTGTAGACACAGAGACACAGGTACATATAGACACAGACACAGGTGAAACACATCAGGGCGGGGCAGACAAACAGGACAGGAAGTCAAATAAAAACCAAAGCACAGAGAGCTGATAACAAAATAAAACCAAAGTACAAAATAACAAAACCCACACCACACCACATGACAAAATGGTTGAGGAAACTATCAAAGGGTTAAACCAGTAGTTTTTATACATGACAGTTTTGAGTGGTCTTCCTCAGAGTCGCTACAAGACAACTGCGCACTTCAAATAAATACAGTATGTCTCACTGTTTTGGGCCTTGCCGTTAGTGGTCTTCCTTGCCTCCATTCCCTTCAGCTCGGTCGCCTCTGCACCACCCATTGGCTGATGACCACCACCTGCTGGATGCCAATCTGCCCCGGCATAAAAGGCCCCAGGCCCAACTGAGAGCTGACGTCTGCGTCCAACGCTGCACCTTTGTTTATACACATTTCTGCTTGGTATTTTTATTATTATGAGATCCTGAGTTCTGTACAATAACCATATTATTATTACATAGAACCTACGACCTCTCACCTTTTACATCATTCCACACCCGGTTATTCACAACAGACGTTACGTGCTACCACCCTGGACTCTCATCATATCCAAGACCAAATGAACCTCATTGGACCAAACAGCCCCTACCAGTTACCATTTGATATCAAAACAGAAGGTATTCATTTGAAGATAAGGAGGACATAGCCTGGTTTGTCATGTGATGGGAGACCTCTGGGAACACCAGGAATGAGGCGGCTGCCATTGTGTCTTTTAGCAGTACACTTCACACACATTGCCTAGCAGTGTAGTGTGTAAGTGAATGATAGTGGTGGTTGGAGGGGTCGATGGCACGGATGGGTTGCCTCGCTTCTGTCAGTTTGCCCCAGGGCAGCAGTGGTTAAAGTGTGTGTGGAGTGAATGAATAATGCTGTGTCTTTAAATGTCCAGAAAAGTGCTGTATAAAACCAATGCAGAGTTTTGTCAACAACAAATCTATAACCAACACCTTTTAGATAGAAATTCTGGTTTTATTCTTTATTTGTCGTTAATGATTTGAGAATCATAACGAGACCCGTTTCAATTCTGCGGCCACATTGTACTTTACCAGTGAGATTAGCCCCACGTGGTGAGTTCTGGCGCCCGGATCACAGACTTTCTGATTGGTGAAACGGTGGAGGGCGGGACATCAAAATGAAAACAATAACAAGATTTAGGGGCTGGAAAACTAATTTTGAAATTCAAATATCTCTGAACTACTGTTATCAGTTAAAGAAGTTTTGGAAAATAACAGTTTTTTATTATGACAGATTAGGGCCCTTTAATGATGACTTCACATGAAAATCTTATATGTTGAGGCTGTAAACTCATAAATAGCCAGAGTGCATGAGAAAGAGTAAAGATAAAATCAGTTGACCTAATGAAAATCAAGTACAGACAGACCACCTTAAATGTCAGTGTGAGGGTCCCGGCACGTGTTCCAATGCCTGACCAGTGCCGACCCGGTCCTCTTCCTAAAGTGTGCCGCCCCTCGCCCGCTCCTGTTATTACAGCAGCAGCTTCTACACGAAAACAAACACACTTCGGCCCATTTGAGACCGACTGGACTCTACCATTACAGACCCCAAACTTAGCCCTGTCTTTGAACCCACTCCACATTGTAGCCAAGCGGTGTTTAACCAAAGACTCCGGTAATTGGCACACGCTCCCAGGCCCCTGCTTAGACCTTGTTTGGGTCTCTCAACAATGGAAGCATTCTCTCCTGATTTAGACTGTCCGCACATGCCCAGTGGGTAAACTTACTTTGTAATGAGCGAAGAAGCCACAAGAATGTCACAAAATGAATTTATTTATTCTGGCAACAGACGTAACATAAAACACAAAGAGGATCATGGTGAGCCTAAACTGTTGCCTGGTTTTTGCCGTGGCTGCTTGGGATCATTTGTTCCATAATACTGACCCCTAGTGTATCAATACTATATTATCTGAGTTCAAAGTACTTTACAAAACTTGTGGATTTGCCAAAGAACAGAATTGACAAATCTGAATAAATCAATGGAGCCTGGATCCTGGATATTTTTTTGAACCTTCAGACAAGGTTTTCGGACTCAGATACATTTTATCTTCCATAATGACTGGAAGATGAAAATGTGTTTACAAAGTATTTTGATCAAACAATGGAATGTGTAACAATAAGTCATCTCCAGGAGCAGCTTGTTTTGGTCAAATATAGAAGATTCCATAATTCTCTGATCTTTCTGGATCAAACAACGGGTCAATTGATCAAAGAAGTATTTTACAAACAGAATTGTGAGTTATAGCCCTAGCTCCTGTGTTGGCAAGAAGTGACTCAAAAACTCACCAAAACCAAATACATATGTTCTGTAAATGTTTGTGGCTAAAGTAGTAATAGTATGTGTATGTGTGTGTGTGTGTATGTGTCAGTGAGTGGTAGTAGTAGTAGAAGTAGTAGTGGTAGTGGTAGTGGTAGTGGTAGTAGTAGTAGTAGTGGAAGCAGTAGTAGTTGGAGTAGTATTTATTTTTCTTCGGCCATTATATACATTACATCTTAGGTCACATGTTTTCAAAGATCTTATATACATTTTACAATACGAAAATAAGAACTAAAATGTCTCTATCAAGAATGTTAGTGCAAAAGTAATAGTAGAAGTAATAGTAGCAATAGTAGTAGTAGTAGTAGTAATAGTTTTGCATTTACATTTTGTACATATAATCCAAGAAACAAAGCTCATAGGTGCCTTTCCCATTATCGATACTACATTTAAGCAACTACAAAAAGGTTCAAATTTTCACATGACATTCTTGATTTTTACTATCATCATCATCCTCATCCTCATCATCATCATTTTGTTAATGAAACAAAAATATACACATTTAAAGGTTCGAACAAAGGTCCTCATATGTTTTTACTGAGCCATATTTGTAAAGTAACAGTCAGTGAACCAAGCTACAGGCAGTACAAACCAGTCCCTCCATAACAGGCTGACCACAACAACATCTGAGTGGATTAACAATCATCACGGTTGAAATGACCCAACGCCTAAAAAAACATATTTGGTGCAAAAGACCAACACGGGAGACATGTTGACACAGCTCAGACTCACGGATCTGGCGGGTCGTGCAGCATGAACCTGACAAGTTTTCTCAACTCACATCATGCACAGCAGAACCACAACTTTGACTCTCACCGTGGCCCTCGGCTCAGTTGTGTTAGCACAATGGATGTTGGTTTACTCTTGTTAGTGTTGTTAGTGTTGTTAGTGTTGTGCGTCTGTGAACCGCCAGAGCAAAGAGAGAGCGATACAAGACCAGATTTTTCTCTCCTGCAATGGTGCACTCTGAAAACACATTGCATTTATTTGGTTGTTATACACACACACACACACATACAGGCACGAACACACACATTCACAGATACACACACATACATACATACACAAACATACACACGCACACACACATGCAGGCAAAAACATACACATAGACACACAAACATACACACACACACACACACACACACACACACACACACACACATAGGAGTTATACTATATGGGAAAACATAGTCACAACTGGAGATGTTGATGATAGCAACGACAGCCTAAATAAAGGCTACACCGACCTACAACACCCGCCTCCCCCGCTCTCTGATTGGTCGGAGAGGATTCACCCGAGGAATCTGCAGCCACTCACCCTGTTCCAACTAGGATTCATACAAGTGGGGGCGGGTCCCGGCTCAAAAGTGGCCAAAATGACGTGCTTGCAATACCACCCCGGGCCGCGAGTATTTAATTCGTAGGTAGGTTCTGCCACAGGGACCGATTTCAGCCAATCAGAAAGCTAGTCTGAAGTGACGTGTTCAGCGCGCCGGCAGACGACGGTGAATTACATTACAACCTAAAAATAAACCATTTATTAATTTACATGCGAATTGTATTTACTGTATTACATATACCATGTATATATAATTTACAATAATAATAACAAACAATGTTGAAAGTGTCCATTTTATGTTTTCAGCTGTTAATCACCGGCGCGCTGAACACGTCACTTCAGACTAGCTTTCTGATTGGCTGAAATCGGCTGAAATCGGTCCCTGTGGCAGAACCTACCTACGAATAAAATACTCGCCCCCGGGCCGATGGGGGTGGACCCGGAATAAGAATTAGCCAATGCTATCATATAGCATTGGCTAATTCATATACCCCAAAATAAATAAAATATCCTGGAAGATGAGTCCAAATAACACCTGGCTGCAGAATCCTTGGGGAATTAGAACGTAACATGTCCTTTTACTTAAAAATGTATTGAAATTAGTTTAACATAGAAGGGTTAGGGAGATTTACAAGGAGAATATTTGTCTCTGAGCAGAAACCTATCCATGAGGACGGTTTTTTGGTTTAGATAATGGATATATTTCTCTACAAAATGCTTTTAAATAGTTACAGTTCATTTGAATTTTAAATTAAATTAATGTGTGTTGTTACCTCTACTCCATCATATTCTTGCTCCAGCGCGGTGCAGTACTGAGGCAGTCCCAGCTGGCTCAACCACCGCGAGATCGACTGGTGCTTCATCGTGAGACGTAAACTTGATCTCTATGACAAATAATCACTGCCTAAAACACAGATGGAACACATACAGTCAGGTCCACATGGTCATGGGTTTGGTTTGTCACCACAGACTGAAAATATTAACAGATGTAGTCACACCTATCTCCATCGTTGAAACTATCGTGCCACCACTTTTTCCTTCTATGGGCAGTTTCAAAATGGCCGCGGGGCTGGAAAATGTGAAAAAATGCATTTGTGCATGTGTTAGCTGCACCAGCCCCACTCATTTAACGAGTGTGCATTGAGAAGTCCAAAGCGGCTAAACTAGACTGGTCTAAATAAATATATTCTCCTCAGCATTGATACACAAGTGGAACGTAGCTTTGGACCAAGAGCCACTTTTTGACCAATAGTCCACTTTTGAACCATCCTGTAAAAACGTTTTCAAGAGGAAAGAAGACGCCATACAAAAGCATTGGGTGATTCTGTTTCCGGGTACACCCCCACAGGCAAGGAGTGAGATTATAGCATGTCAGCGCACACTGGTTAAAACTGGTCTCCCCTGAGGAAATGGGTGGAGTCTGGTGTGCTCAGGTTAGAACCAAAACCTGCAGCCACACCTGCCCTTTGAGGACCAGTTTGACATTACTGCTATAGAGGGTTTGCTCTAAGATGTAAACTTCTGGTGAGCTGCAAAAACTCACAAAACTCAAGAAGAGTTTGACAAACAAGAGCCAAAGACTTGACAGTTCTGAAACATCTTTTTTCCAGATGAGACGAATAGATGGGTTGAGAAAAGAAAAATTCAGTGGAAACGTTTTTGTTTTGTCAATAAAACTGTATTTTTGTAAATGATCATGTGCTGTTTCTTTTTCTCTTTTGTTGTTGTTTTGTTTTGTTTTGTTGTTCTGTGTTAAAAAAAATAGTATTCATTCATTCATTCAAACATGGATATGGTGGTGAAATTGCATGCTCATGTAAGGCACCATTTGAATGAAGAATATAGTAATAGTAAGCCCAGGAATGAAACTGCGATCTGTCCTGTCATGTCGCTAGTGATCTCAGGACGGTGTCAGCGCAGAGGAGAAAAGCTTGTCCTGGTGAAGGCCTGACACGCCGCTGTGCCCCACTCAATCTGTCTAAGTGATATGTTAGTGAGCAGTGACCATGGGTGTCATTGAGCCTGACATTAAGATAATATACCATGTGTCATCACTGAGAGTCTCTCCTTCTGCACTATATGGACTCTGTGGAAAGAGCTGACACGGGACCAGTCAATCTGCAGAATATTAGTTTCATTTAAAACTCAAATCAAAGAAAAAGAAACCAGTCACGTGACCACTAGACTGTTAACTTGTCCCTGTGCTGTCTGTAATGTATTCTATTATTTTGTATTTTATTGTATTGTATGTTGTCATTTCTTATGTATTTTCCTGCCGAGGGACTGAAACTAGCTTGGTAGCTCTAATCCGGAATATTTACATTTGTTTTATACTGATCATTAATGTGCATTGTCCATATCAAATAAATAAATACATTTTCACCAACATTTGAATGAATATGTCACAGCAGCATGCATAATGATGAAGTCAACGGTTGAGTAAAATGACATCATTAAAACAATACCAGGTCATTCAGAAGCAAGAAACACAGAACAAGATAAATGTTGTTCATGATGAAGGATAATGAAGAGTCAAGATGCTAAGGACATTCTACTACATTTATGGACGTTGGTCTCTCCCTATGGACCAATACTTATATGTTTTATATTTTCTGTGTTTTAAAGATGCAGTCAGTGATTTTTTTACAGACACATATTTTTTAAATATTGTGGGAAAACGTCCCTACGCCCTAAAAGTATTCAAGTTATCATGTGTTTTCAAATAGTAATGGAATTGACCAGATGTCTTTAGTCTACAAAAATGTATAATAAATATTTTGAAGGGGTCCGATAAAAATAAACCAATGGGATTTGTTCATCTCCAACGAACCAATGGGATGCGTTTACCCCCTTCACGACAAAGAAAAGAAAATGCTGGATGTTTGGTTTGGTGGAGAGGGAGGGGAGGGGGTGGTGGTTTCCGGTTGGTGCTACGGCTAAGCTAACAACATCGCTAACTGAACCTTTAACTGTTGATTCTTCTAACTTGTTGATTGCTGTTGTGAATTAGGATACAAGAATGTTTAGTGCTGTCTATGCCTTACTTCACATAATCATTTCAGTAAATTTGCTCTGGAAGTTATAAAGGACTTTATAAGTTATCCTGCTCCATATGAAACTATAAAAGCATTGAAAGGATGTGAGTGACTCCTGGCCATGCGCCGTCTGCAGCTGCTGCTCAAACGTCTGCATCTTCGCTCCAGATGAGCCACAAAGCAACTTATAAACTCAGTCTGGTGTTTTACGCCAACTCTCAGTGTTGAAAGAGGTTTTGCTTATAAAAAAAACCAAGTGCCATCTCAGTGACGTGTCATTTATGAGTAAATGTGTTTTCTACAGCCACTAAAACACAGAGTTTTATGATATTTTAATCAGTTTCCAGCAGCAGTATGTCAGACATGTCTGACTTTTTGTAATGTGTGGAACAATATCATTTGGAAACACAGCAGGGGTTTTTCTCTTCTGGTCTGTGTCCTCTCTCCCCTGGCCATGACCACACATCTCTCTCTGCATCCTCTGAGTGTTTTTCATAGATACCCTGCTCTTTGACATAGAGGAATACAAATGTACAGTCAACGTCAGTAACAACGACATTAGAGGAGCCATTTTCCTCATGATACATCTGCATGTTCTGCTCTTGCTGCTGCTGCTCCAGTGCCCGCGGAGGACATCCTTTTGGCCAATCACATTAGGCTGACACAGTGCCACCAATTCAATTAAGTGGCAAAAATATCCCCAACACACCATGCCAAGAGTAGAATCTCCTTTGCAACCTTTGATAAACCATCTGCTTTAAAAACTGCTCTGCTTTTGGGTTGTGCAACTAATCAAATGTGAATTAAAATGTGAAAACTGTGAAGAAATGACTCTGTAAAAGGTGCTAGACAGGGGGAGCAATCTATGTCTTTGTGGAAGATGTATTCTCTGAAAAATAACCCCAATCTGTCTAAATATAAAAGCAGTAATGAACTATCCTTTTGATAATTGATTACTTAAGATAAGATAAGATAAATTTTATTGATCTCACAATGGAGACATTTACTTTGCTGATTATTCTTTCAAATAATTGATTAGTTGTTTGGATCCTGAAAGATCAGACCAGCTTAAATATGAGATTTTTTTTTGCAATTGACCAAAACAAAGCTCAAGTGATGTCCCTGGAGAACATCTTCTTGGACATGACTTGGGTTGTTTCATTAAAAAGAAACATATTTTCATTTGAATACAAACCTGTTTAATTACTGCAAGTATCTGAGCCATAAAACATACTCTCGGCATGTGTAAAGTTATATTATATAGGCGGATTTTCTACTTCCGGATGAATCATCAAGACTATTGGTCCTCCCAGCTGTCAATCACTCTGGTGATATGTGTTTGGCAAATAAGACCAGAGAGTTTTGTTCAGAAAGTGACATTCCAGTGACATTGCCAACTTCATCCTCTTGAGCATTTTGTGTGTTCTCGCTCACACACAGGTGGATTTCAGACATGGCTGGGCTTGCAGATCAGTGTGCTGTCTCCATAGTGTCTGTTCTGGTAAAGGTTTGTAAGATATTTTCAAAGACTTTTTGGATTATTGAGAGAAACCAACCCCAACATTTCTGAGAGTCCAACATGGATCTGTCTGTACATTTTTATGTCAATCCAAAGTTATATATGATGTTACACATGTTTTCACAAGACTGACTTTTAGCTCAAATGTTCTCCATATTTTCCCATACAACCACACTGTATGACAATATCTAATTGATAATCACTATGGCAACCGTATTATCGTAATTCTGAAACCATGAAGAATAATTTTATGTACACATTTCTTCCGTGTTAAGGTTAAAAAAATATACTGTATGTATTGCACAATTTCTTTGAACTATGTGCCGTATTGTGTTGTGTCCTCCATAAAGATGAATAAATAACAATCATAATACATAATAATATGGATTTTACGTTGTACTCGTCGTTGTAAACGTTACGTTAGGCTTTCAAAAGTAAAAAGTTACAGCTGCTATTGGATTCCATCAGTGCATAAAACATGTTAAATTGTCTGTATCTAGGAACCTGCGCTACTTTAAGATAGTTGGACTTGATCGAGTGTCTTCCATGGATCTTTAATGATATCTGTGTTTTCAGCTTCACATTTCAGCCTGACAGAAAAGTCTATATTTACCTTAAAGAAGTCGCACAGTGGCCCCACAGATGGTGATGATGATGATGATGATGGTGGTGGTGGTGTGCATGGCGCGGGACGTCCATGGATGTTTGCTGCTTGACTCCAAAACCACGATCCAGACCCACACACTCTCTCTCCAGACCTCACGTGGACTGTCTCTGACGCTGACGCAGTTTGAGAGACGCGGGACAAATACAACACCAAATACGACTTAATTCATCTGTTAATGATTCTGGGCAAATTCCACAGACACAAATCCAAATGTGGAAATAGAAAACCTCTCTTCAACATATTTCAAAACGAAAGTAGGCAAGGCAAGTTTATTTGTATAGCACAATTCATACACAAGGCAACTCAAAGTGCTGAACAAGGTAGGATTAAAATCATAAATAATCACAGAACATTAAAAAGAAAGATAAAAACATAAACTCCCTCAGTTGTATGCACAGCTAAACAGCACTGTTTTTAACCTGGTTTTAAACATCGTCAGAGAGGAGGCCAGTCTCACATCTTCAGGAAGATTGTTCCAGATTTTAGCAGCATGAAAGTAATCAAAACTCATTCTTCAAATCACCCAAAAGCAATCACACTTTTACAAACATTCTCTGTTTAAATCGACTTTGTTTTTCTCTGTGTTATTTGTAAAAATGTTGAACCAAGGTTTTTTTGTTTTTTTCCATAACCCTGCAGGCT